ACGCAAAATCTCCATTCTTTGAACATTTGTAATACAATCGCCCACGCTCCTTGGGCTGCGGTTTACCCCGTGAATACAAACACCACTGGGTTTAAAAATCCCTTCGTGGCCGGGTTTTCCTCCCCCAAGGAAACAGAACTTTGTTTTGCGAGCAATGCCCCCCCCCCCCCCTTGTTCTTGGAGCGCTCGCCTGATGGTTCGTGGGCGAGGGGCTCGCCTCTCTGGCATGAAGGGAGGATGTTATTCCCATGCTACTGTGGTTTGCAATTTAAATGAATTGTGCCGTAGGGCCTGAATACTGCTGGTGGCTGCATCTTGTTCCACGGAAGATCTAAAGGCGAGACCATGAAGCAGATAGCTGCCATCCCTCTTCTTTCTTTTTGGGGGCAGGGTGGAACCCCCCCCCCCTCCCACACACACACACCTACACATTAAATATATATATATATATGTATATATATATATATATATATATATATATATATATATATATATATATATATATATATATATATATATATATATATATATATATATATATATATATATATATATATATATAAATATATATATATATATATTCAAACACACGCACTCACAGAGGAGCAAACGCACACACACAGCATCAGTAAGTCACACACAGCAAGCAAAATTCCAAACATGCCTACCTATTTATATTCTAAATCAGCTAAACACAACAAGACATCCGTTTAATTGGGTGCTTCACAACCTCAGTGGTTCTAGAACTCCACGCGAACAAAACACAGCAAGCATAGTTGTGCAAGTTCGCATCTGTTTAACTTAATGTGTAAAGGTGAATATACTACAAGCAGTGGAGTGAAATCCTTGAGGCTTCTGGCCAGGTGTGTCTGTTCTCACCTAGTTTTACTCCTAATTGTGCTTGCGGGGGTTGAGCTCTGGTTCTTTGGTCCCGCCTCTCAACTGTCAGTTACCACAAATGTGTGTGTGTGTGTTAACTCATCTAGTTGTACTCACCTAATTATGCTTGTGGAGGCTGAACTCTGGCTCTTTGGTCCCGTCTCTCACCTATCACTCAACTTGTGTACAGGTTCCTAAACCCATTGGGCTCTATCATATATACATTTGAAAATGAGTATGGAATCTGTCTCCACCATATCACTTCCTAATACATACCATTTATTAACTACTCTTACACTGAAAAATCATCTAATGTCTTTGTGGCTCCTTTGAGTACTTAGTTTCCACCTGTGTACCCTTGAGCGAACACAGATGGAATTTAACCCGTGTTAAATAATCTGTCTTTATCAGCACTTTCAATTTCCCTGAGAATATTGTATGTGGTAATCATGTCTCCCCATCCATGCTCCTCAATCTTCCAGGGGGCGTGAGGTGCAATTCATGACGGCTTTCTTTATAGCTCATACCTCGTAGTTCTGGACTTAGTCAAGTGGCATACCTTTGAATATTTTCCACCTTAGTTTTATGCTTGACAAAGTACGTGTGTGTTTACGTTATGAATAAGAATGGCATGAATGCCTCAATTGCAAAATATCGGATGACCTCTACGTCGATTTCGACTGGCCTTCTAGACAATTATAAATACTATATTTAACACGAGTTGGAAGGAGAAGCACTATTTCGTGAATAAAGTTCTTTAGACTGTTAAAGTAATGCCTCGGATTCCTTTCGTGCAAATTAATGAGCTTTTATTTTGTTTTACAAGCTTTATCTGTATGAAATGATAATGGTTTTCTGGAACAGAGAGAGAGAGAGAGAGAGAGAGAGAGAGAGAGAGAGAGAGAGAGAGAGAGAGAGAGAGAGAGAGAGAGAGAGAGAGAGAGAGAGAGAGAGAGAGAGAGAGAGAGAGAGAGAGAGAGAGAGAGAGAGAGAGAGAGAGAGAGTCAAACAGTGGATGAAGATATACTATTTGCAACAAATTTGAGAAGAACCATCGTTCTTCAGTCCTGCCTGAGCACACTAGACAAACTCGACAGATGAAGAATCGTTCAAGCACACGTGTGAAGTGTTACTCACTCTAACTAAATATGACTCGAGGATGGGCACACATGTTCCCAACAGCCTTGTTCACGTAACTTGTATCTTGTGAGTAATGGTGGTGCTTAGTGGAACAGATTTGAAGATTAGTTCTCTTATATCTCCCAATTTTTATTCTGATTCTCTCTCGCTGAAATGTCACTCAGTAGTTCCAAGTAACTGATGATAATGAATAGTCATGTCCACTGTATCATCATTCTCTCACTTCACTAATGATAGTAAAATATCTCACTGTGTATAGCTGTCTTACAAATGACTTAGTTAATTAGAATATATTATGTCATGTCATGGAAAGATACCTCAGTGTGAGAACACAGTAAAATATCGTTCGGAAACAATGTGAAACTGCAAATAAAATTATGTTGACCAGACGTAATTATGATTAGACGTAAGTCTATTGCTGTTACAATACTGTTCTATAAATAATAATAATAATCTAATTAATAATAATAATAAAAATAATATTTATATTATTATTTATATTATTATTATTATTATTATTATTTTTATAATTATTATGATTATTATTATTATTTTTATTATTATTATTATTATTATTATTATTATTATTATTATTATTATTATTATTATTATTATTATTATTTTGGATATAAACACACACTTGTTTATTTGTGTATGTAAGAAATTTACACCGAATCTTTCGCACTCTCCTGAGTGCTATACTTGTCTATTCACAAATAGACAAGTGTAGTTTTTATCCTATGTTATTATGTCTGTGACAAGACATTATCATTACTAATTATTAGTATTATTGTTATTAATTAATAAGAATACGAATTATAATACTGTAAAAATAATAATTGAAGCACAATCTGATTTTAGAAATATGACAAACACGCCAAATCTGCTACTACAGGTGACTTGAAATTAAAAATGAATCTGTGGAGAGGATACACGTGTCAGACATTTAAATAGAGCTGGAGCCTTTAATAGGGTTTAATACTATAAAGGACTTATGGGACTTAACGGGAATCTTCTGAAACGCTCAGAATACTTCTTAACGATAGGTTTGGTAACTTCTAAGTTAGTAAACCTTGGAAGTTGTCTTAGTCCATGGAGGCGAGAGTGTACTTCAGGCGGATCACTCCCTTGGAACATTTGCTTCGATGACGTCCTCAAGTTGATGACTGTACACTGACGTTTTCAGGAAATACGAATGATGATGCAAATCATATCAATGAAACACTTGAAAGTATTTAATCTTTGAGATAACTTTGAAAAATTATTGATGCCAAGATACAACTCAATTGATGGCGGCTCTCATGTAGGATGAAAATATATCGTCTTGTTGTAATACTAGTCAAGAAAATACTGATATACCGCCTATCAATTACCATATTAACAAATCCAACAGGAGCCTTGATGAGGGTTCGAACCTATGCCCTGGGTGTTCCCAAGCGCGTTCCAGCCGACTGCACCACGACATGGTTAAAATAATTGGAACCTGGAATACTACTGCACCCACAAGGGTCCCGAGGCTTCCACTGAAGCCTAACCGGAGTTTCAACCTAAAAAGAGTGGAAATTTATGAAAACATTTTCTTCACATGATGTGAAAAAATTGCAGGCAAATTAGCTCGAAAACTAATTTCTTTTTAGAGGTTAAAGTATCACCTGAAGTAGATGATAGATTTATGTCACTTCATAACACCCCAAAGCAGTTCTGTAATGGAGTATTCGCTACTAATTATAGCTTCATGTTCACAGTCTTAGATAAAATTATAGGCAACGAAGGAAAGTTAATATTCTTGACTTAATGACGTACATCTCTCCAGCACAGAAATGTTGCTGGTTTGTGTGTATTATGCAACATTCACAAAATTCTTATCCTCGTGTAGCTTTTCTACAAGTTTCTCCCTCCCATTTGGGCTGAACGGTAGAGCGACGATTTCGCTGCATGCAGGTCGGCGTTCAATCCCCGACCGCCCAAGTGGTCGAGCATCAATCCTTCCTTCCCCCGGTCCTTTCCCAAATCCTTATCCTGACCCCTTCGAAGTGCTATATAGTCGCAATGGCTTGGCGCTTTCTTCATATTATCTTTATCTTTATCCTCCCTCAAGAATAAATTACTAAACAAGAGATGCGATATTTAAGAATCAGATTAATGCTCACTTTGTCCGAACAGAACATTTGTGACGCTGTTTTTACAGGAAATACGAAAAATTATGGATTAAATCTTGACAACAGATTGACGACTAAAGCACACTGACACTTCAACAGTTCTAAAGTCTTGTAAATGACTGCATTTTAATACAAGAGTATTCAATACAAATACAAAACACCAGTATGTCAAGAGACAACATTCATTGTATACACGCCGATAAATGGGGGGTTCACCTTTCGATGCACGTATCCTGTCAGCTATGTTTTGAGGATCAGCAATTTTAGTATATTTGTTTCGAATATCTCGAGTTAAATACACACAAAAATCACAATAGCGTGACATTGTGTCTCGGAGAGACTGTGGGATCCGTGTGAGAGTAGTAGCAATCTTGGTTTCAATTCTTTTTACCATATCGTGGCGCAGTCGATTAAGGCTCATCTGGGATCATCTTGGACGTAAGTTCGAACCCTCATCACTGCCCCTGTGGATTTATTCATCTCGAGTTAAAGCTTTGAACGTAACTGGTGAACCAAAACAAATATCCCCAGAGGCCCAGGAGCTGGATGAGATATGGAAACCGTGCTAAGTCTGAATTCCTTCCAAGTGTGTTCAAGTGCATTTTCTAATCCTCCTATTAGAACGTCCTCGTTCTAATAGGAACGTCCTCGAACGCTCTATTACCAACCTATTTGACGTCTTTGTTCTTGTTGTGGGGCTGCAGCGTAACTCAGGCAAGCACAGCTAGGATGAACACGTCAACACTATTTCCATTACCTTACAATTAGGTTAATAGTAGGAATCCTTATCTTTGGTGCGTATTTCAGGCCAATATTTCTTACCTGGAAACGTATGAAGACTATTTGACCTCTTGGATGTTCTTCCTCACCTACGCTTAGCGTAGAACTCTTTCTTAATTTACAGTTTGTATTTTTCTTTTACTGCATATCAAAGTAAACTTGCATTGTTTACACTTCGATAATTAAGTAAATAAAAGCAAGATGAGTTCCACTGCTTCTTCATTCATAACTTTTGACACTAATCAACAACTTTAATCTTTTTATGAACGAGTAACAATACGATATTTTTTGAATGAGTTAAAAAGCCACCGATGTTTACTACACGTGGAGTGGAGAGACGAGTGCGTGTCTGAGATCTGTGTAGGTGAGAGTAGCGAGAGGAAGACCCAGTGTGTATCACGGCCAAGACAACACTCCGTGGCGGGTACACCTGAGAGTGTGCCCACACCTTGCCTACACCCCCCCCTTCCCCATCCCTCCTTCCTACCCTCTCTTTCCCCATGCCTACCCACACCCCTTCCCACAGGCCACAGCCCTGCCCCACACACCACTACTCGCTCACTTTGCCACTCCCTCTTTGAACACATCCCCACCCCCTACTATCTCACTTTTTTGTTTACATCTGTGGGAACACAAGCACACGACTTATGGCTCGTGTATTGTGGCTTTCACTTCCTATTTCTAATGTCAAGCCTTACCTGAGGCAGGTGATGAATTTGGAGACACATTCTCTCTCTCTCTCTCTCTCTCTCTCTCTCTCTCTCTCTCTCTCTCTCTCTCTCTCTCTCTCTCTCTCTCTCTCTCTCTCTCTCTCTCTCTCTCTCTCTCTCTGTCATACAATTAATCCTTCCATTCTTTCACACTTTTCTCCTCTCACTCTGTATCTCACCGTTTACTTAGCTCACGCCCCAGACTCCTAATCTCTTCATCTCCAGCCGTCTTCCCCCATGATCTTCTTACTTTATTTTATTTTATCATCTGTGATTGTATCCTGTGAACTATTGTGTTGTATACGTTTGCTAGAAATAATAAACACGAAGCTATAATCAAGAATCTTCCAAATGCCTTTAAATTCATAGAGCGACCACATCTCTTCTACTGAAAAGTCTGGATGTGCGACACTGAGTCGGGTGAATATACTTTGGTTACCTGGGGTTTACCTGTTGATTATTTCGAGAGTTCTTCTACTCTCGCAGGCCAGGCCTATGGCAACCCATCCTTAGTGATTGTCTGGTCTGTGAGGTCACACGAAGTGAATTGACGTGAAGGCTTCAGTTACTTAAGTTGTTATCATGAAAATACAATAACTTTATTTTTTCCATTATCTCATATGCAAAGATTCGGGTTTTATGTGCTAAAACTTACAAAAGGCTTAAACAAAATCTAGGCTATTGCTTATGTTCCCCATCTAGGTTATCTTGAGGTTATCTTTAGGTTATCTTATCTCTAGTCAAGAACTTTGTTCAATTTAGTTGCCATTTTAAAAAATGACATGTGCTATCTCTATCACCAAAATTGCCTGTTAATTAGTGATTCATAATTATCAAGGCGGGCTTAAAAATTATCAGTAAGATATTCATCACAGCTCTTCACAAAACTGCTAGCAAAAGATATTCATCAATAGTTCTCAGCTGATGTCTTGCTGTCCATTTTTCATACAACTACGTCCCTGGCCTTCTTCCTGATTAATGACAACATTTTTTGCAAAATTTTCCTGATTAATGACAAAATTTGTCCAGGCTTTCTGACCATCAGGAACTGGTCAGAAGAGGAAGTACTGAGAGAAAAAGATCGGGTTACGTTCCATGTATTTTGCAGGCCAAATGGAGGAGCATTGTTCGGTCTTTTACACAGTCATGATGGCAACAGATTTACAAGGCTTGCTAAGTGCTGGTAAAGATATATCAGATGTTAGTCTTTGTTGCTCTTGAGTCTTGCGTTACTAAACGTTACTCTATACCTACTGCCTTGATAAATGGCCTATTGCACCCACTTGCCAATTATAATTGTTTATATTATAATTATATTTAGTAAGCTAGTTGTTAAAGTCTCCAATATAATTGTAATCTCGTTAATATTTTGTTAGTGTGGACATTTGGACATTGCCAAAATTATACACACTAGTAATTAGGTTATTATTCCAGCTCTTCTGATATTATAATGAAGAAAACTACTACTATGGATACTTTTGACATTATTATTATTATTATTATTATTATTATTATTATTGCTTCGTCTAGTATTAGTATTATTATTGCAACTTCAAATATCATTATTAATAACACTATTGCTATTACTACTTGTTCACTAATAATTATAATTACTAAATAATTATTGTTACTACAACTTTTACTGCATTTACTATTATAGATTTTAAGCTACTACTTTTAGTTTTTATTTTAAATTGGAAAGTTGAATTAAAACGTTTTTCCAGAAGAAAATAGAACAGTTTAGCTGAGCGGTTTGCCTCGTACCCTGTTATCCTGAAAAACATAGGACATGTTAGTGGTCCTTGCAGAGAGAGAGAGAGAGAGAGAGAGAGAGAGAGAGAGAGAGAGAGAGAGAGAGAGAGAGAGAGAGAGAGAGAGAGAGAGAGAGAGAGAGAGAGAGAGAAAGAAAAGTTATTATATCTTTAAATATATTAACTCACAGTGAAATATATTTACCAACAAACATATATTAATTGATTGAAATATAGATAACCCTACAGGTTCTTAAACTGTGAAATATTTTAGAACTTGTTGAATGCATTTTGTATTTACAGAACTTAAAGATTATTTGCTTACGACATCTTCTTGGAAATAAATCTGAGAAGGCTAAAAGGAAAAACCGGTTTGTTAAGGGTTGGGTTAGGTAGTGATAAAGGGCTAAATGTTTGATTGATGGGATATTTTATAGCTTTTGTCGGCTCTTGTACGTGGTACAAGAACCGGTTAAGATGGTCAACGCAATATTTTCCAAGGAACACAGCTCGCCGATCGCGTACCATTGGGTTCCCATTCAGGGTTGGGATTGGTGGGACAAGCAGGTGGAACCGGTGTCCAAACGTCCAATCTCGGTAAAATCTAAGTTATCTCAAATCTATTTTAAATATTAAAATAGTTATATTAAGTCTATTTTATCTAAATTATATCAATACTGAACTAGCTAAGGATATTTTTTTCCGCATTATGCATTGTTAAACCAAAGTTGTATTAATGTGAATTGTATCATTATTGTTGTGAATGTTTTGTAACTACATTTCAACTCGTCTCGTTATTTTAACCCAAATATTAAAGCTTCAATAATTTTTGTAAAAACCATTCAAAACAATAGTGAGCGCGGTAAGGCAAATTACGACACTGATCCAATGTAATAAAATACTCCTGTATTGTTCCCAAGTTAATAAAAATTTAAATATTATTATTATTATTATTATTATTATTATTATTATTATTATTATTATTATTATTATTATCTCTTTTTCAGACTGGTAGGCTAAACGGCAATTAATTATTTATTTATTTGCTGACGTTTTATACTTATTTGCTGATTTGTCTATTAATTTAATTACTGGACGAGTTGATTACCTGCTTAGTGATGGTTACTTCGTGGTTTTGTTAGCCTAGCTGTTGACTGGTTGGGTTAATTTACTCCATCATATGACGATTTATTTAGTTCACACGATTCGTAAATTGACTGATTCTTTTGTGACGTAATAGTGAAAACAGAAGACCCCTCGTTTGAACTTCCGTATCTAATTAAGAGCATACTCGACGTATGTACAGAATATGTCTCGTATCTTTAAGTTTCAAGCTCGTAAGTCATAAGTATACTTAGTATACAGAGTAGCAATATTCACTCGAATAGATCTGGTGCTGTAAGGTGTGGAGCGTGTAAGGCAGGTAGAGACTACAGCGGTTTATTGCTCACTACAGAGGTGCTGTGTCACCAGAATTGGCGTGTTTCAGTTGTGTCATGTTCCAGAGGAGTCGTGTCCCAGAGGTGTCGTGTCCCAAGCATTTCTGGGCATGCACCTGCCATGTGCTGGTGGCAGTTGTTGTTGTTGTGGTTGTTATAGACTCAGCTGCTCGGGAGTAAGGCCTCCGTGCAGCACGGTCTATGGTGAACCCGTAAGTGGATTTTTTGATGTCAGTGCAGGAGGAGGTAGAAATGGGCGATGGCACCATGGTGGTCTATCTTGCCTCGTTAATTCTCTGCTTGGATGCGATGTGTGTGTGTGTGTGTGTGTGTGTGTGTGTGTGTGTGTGTGTGTGTGTGTGTGTGTGTGTGTGTGTGTGTGTGTGTGTGTGTGTGTGTGTGTGTGTGTGTGTGTGTGTGTGTGTGCGCGCACCATACTCCCACCCTCACAACCTTCACGTTCCCCAGCTCACTTACGTCATATTAATTCCAGCTGAAAATAACAAAACGCATTTTTTTTTTCATTAAACACCGCAGGTAAATTGGGATGTTTTACGTAATAGTGATTTCACTGTACAATGAACAGATCAAAAGATAGACAGACCGACAGACTGACAGGAAACCTCAGCAAGATAAAAACAACTATAATACCATTATGTAAAACATTGTCATTTTGCTATCTCTAAAAATTCAACGGAACATATATGGTATATATTTATTATATATAATAACTTTATTTTAATTAGCATAAACGTTTCTGTTGTCAAAGAAGATTCTTTACTGATGGTTTTCTGTTTCATAATTATTCTTACTTTGAGATTTTGACCCAAACATCCATGTTTCTTTATTTGTTAATGTTAATCTCGTTTGTTTTATGTATTTAGCAGTTTTTCTGTTTTCATCTTTCCTTCAGCCCTTCCCCGTTGTTATTTCAGGACTTTGCTCTTCATTTTTGTGATCCATAAATTTGTTCACAAATTCAAATAATTCCATGACAGTAATTATTCAGATTGCTGGTTCTCAGATCTATATCTGAACTTTGTATATTGTAAATAGTTTTTGAACACTGACTTGTTTTACTGAAATGATCACTACTACAGTTGATGAACCAAGATTATGTAACATGTTTCCTGTATGGAATAGTAAACAAAAATAATGTACCTTCAAACTTTAATTGGCTCCACACAAATCAAACCCTTCATTTTTCCCCTTTTAACTGTCCAAAATCCTCCCACAGTGGTCGTAAACCTCCTCGGAATTACTCAGTTAGGGGTAGATCCACCATCTTGACCCGCTGTTGGCTGACGAACGAGGCAGCTTGCTGAATATTATGGGACGTCAACTTATCCACTTCCTCACCCTCCTCGCATTTCTTACTGCTGCTAATCTTTTCCCCAATACTTTCTCCATTTAGTCTCTGCAACATTTTTTCGGTCTTCATGTAAATTTTGTGCACCATAGAAACATCATTTAAGTCTTCTTCCTGCTTATCT